TCTATCAAACTCAAACTACCTGGTCTTCCAGTTGCCACTCACTTTTCCACTAATAACCACTCTCTGAAGGACATTCAAATTACCGGACTGACTTTGTGCAATGGATCGGATAACATGAAGAGAAAAACAGAAGAACGTATTATATATAAGCTTGGCACCCTTGCACCCAATGGACTCAATATATCATTTAAATCTTTTAGAAACTAATATTTATTATAGGCCATTTATACTCATTATGATTATTTTATTCGATTTATGATTTTTATAGGCTCTCCTTTATATGTCTATACTGATTATTATGATTATCATTCGTATGATTTCTTATAGTTATATTTGATTTATGATTTTTATAGGCTCTCCTTATATTTTCATTGCTGTCTTATTTATCATATCAGTTATACTATATTTAATTATACATTGCTGTGTTATACTGTTATTATTCATTTTGGCGCCATTTTGGCTATGCTTTGGTTTTAGCTTTTTTGGGGGAAGGTTTCCTCCCTACATTGTTCTATTGTTTTATGCTTTGTTTTATTTTCTGGCTTTTCATTGGCCACTACGTATTGTACTGCCACCTCATTGGTGCATTCCATAGTTTTTTAAGCCATGTTTTGAGCCTTCTATTTACTATATATATTTTTCTCTCATCATATTTTTCTTCAGCTTGACAAAGGTTGATAACCGAAAACGTTTGCTCACTATTAAATAAATATATACCTGGCAACTTATTACCTTCTCTCCGGAGTTTTTGTTTTTAATTTATACTGTCTCTTATACACATCTAGATGTGTATAAGAGACAGATATATATATATATAGGCAAAATACTGAAAAAACAACAATGCTGTGGGAAACAATTTGAGACCAAAAATTTGGTGTGTGTATGACATTCGGTTAGGGGTATATGCTACAGGGTGCCGGTACCTTTGGTCAAAAGTCAGAAGTGTCATTTTCATGCTTTGGTAATAAAGTGCAGAACTTGGTCCTTAGCTGCTAGCTCTACTAAAGTGACAGAAAGGATCGATGAATGTTAGTCACTGAAGAAACGTCACTGAAATAATAATAGGCTAACCTGGACATAAGAACCGAACTCTGTAATCAGTGCAGGAGTTTCCATTTTCAGACAGCCTACACGTGAGACCAATGGAGAGGCTGCAGGTAACAACTTCACCAGTTGACGTATATGGTTGACCGGCTATGGTCTGGCACTCGATTGCTACTGGGTCCTCACACATTGTTGTTGGGTTTTCCTATTTATGTCATGAAACATAATGTTATTAAAATAAAGCCCTACCTAATATTTCAAAAGTAGTTATAAATGTGAGTATTTTTGTTAAATATAATCCTTTACACCAAATAATAGTTACGTTTGAAATTAAGTCTAAATGTAATGAAGGATTTTGATGCATATGTGTTTTATTTGAATTAAACAAGTAGCCTTTAAAGATACATATCTAATTACGCTCATTTCAAAGCATAAAACTACATTGGAATACCGCGGGTCTCAATAAACGTCTAGGAAGAAATGTACAACATGGATCATCAAGTCTTGATTGCCCGAGTGAATATCAATCCATATTTCATATTGTGTGAATATAATGGCTTTTACTGGCGTTTTCACTAGGCCAAATAATCTTTACGTATCGCATTTCGTAGCCGTGCCTAAGTCGTTTTTGCAGTTTTATATGGAAGCCAAAAAGAGCAATATTTATCGTACAGTTTTGCCGTTTTATATGGGACGCCAAACGGTAACTTTTAAACACTGTTGACTTTCAAACACACTCGGTTTTCAGGCACACTCGGTTAACAAACACTGTCGATAATTTACAGGAAAACTTTGCTTTAGCTACCCCTGACCAAAAATATGTTATATTGTAGGCATACATATTGTAATTATTAGGAAGGTTTTGAATGCGAACGCATAACGGTTAGTGTGACAAATACGTCATCTTTATGACGTCATACGCCGGTTGCTATCTGCTAACCGTGTGGACGATACGTGTATCTCATTACTACACGTAAGTGAAAAATGCGTAGGAAGATTTTGGATTTCTAGTAGAATATTGTGTTTTTTCACATTTTATATAAGTTTTAAAAATAAATGTATCTTTGAATACGTACGTGCCATTTTTGTGACTTTTGAAAACGGCAAGTTATGATAGGATGCGTCTCATTTTAGTGTATTAAAACGTCGGTGCATGGTGGTACGGGTGTCGGGATTTTTGTGTAGGTCTAGGCCTAGCTTATAGGATTGCGCTAGCCATGGTCATAAACAATAGGGCCTATCACAAAACAGATTATTCTGGCCAGCAAGGAAAGGAGTATTATTCGACTACTAATTCTAATTTCCAAACCCTTGCATACAAAAACTTTAGGTCATGCCAAGATCTAATTTTGAGAAGCATGATGAAAAAGGAAAACGGAATAGGCCTATACATAGGCTAAAACCGTACGCTTAAATTTTGTTGTGAATGCGAAAAACACAGAATGGCTGAAAACAGTTACGGATAGCTAAACGTATGCGTACACGTATTCGTTCACGTGCAGAACCTCTCTAATGTTATTTGATGGAAAAAATACAAGGTATTTCACCATACCAGATAAGACTACTGCTGTTTCATCTCACTTTAGTGGTTTCTAAATATTGTTATGTTATGACAACTGCTATCAAAACCATGCAACCTATCTTCTTTTAGTGGTCATATTGTTCTTTTTGCAGAAACATAATTATAAACTTTAACAGCTTTTAGATTGTCTTCTCTAAGTCAGGAAGAAATATGGAATACTTACTCAAAAATTAACGTGATGTTCTTCACAAATAATGAAGATCATGTTAAAACCAAAATCAACATTGCTCATACCACATTAGAGAATGGGCAAAAATTTGGTGTTACCTTCACCTAAAAAATGAGTCAAATACAGAAATCACAAGTAGGCTTATAGTCTGACATCAGTAGCACTCGAAAAAGTACAAAAAAATATGGAGTGACAAAAATATCACTAGAAAAACAAAAGTACAGCTGCTCCATACTTTAGTGTTTCCAGTCCTTATTTATGGTGCAGAAACTTGGACAATAAAAGCAGAGGATAAAGGCAAATTGAGGCATTTGAGATGCGCTGTAACTTATCATGGCTAGCAAGATCCGGAATACTGAGGTCTTACGACAGATAAACACAGCCTTACAGATTAAAAACAGATTGAAACTAGTATTGTCAAACAGAGATTATCATGGTTTGGACATGTAGCCAAAATGGGAAATGAGAGAATCGCTAGAAAGAAGTTGATAGAAAAAGTTTGGTGGAGAAATAAGCGGGAAGACCTCGTGTTCGATGGGAGAAGTGCATCATAAGATACTGCGATTCTTTCCAGAAAGCATGGCCAATGACAAAATGAGGTGGAGAAATTTGCTTATGGAGCCAACGTCCAGTAGGATAAGGAGGAAGAGGAAGAGCGAGAAGATTGTTTTTTATCCAAAATAATCGTAACTTTCACTTACTAGAGGGTATGAGAGCAAGGCGTACGTGTGCACCCTCTAATATATTTAAAATTAAACATATAAGAAATAATAAACGGGAACACAACATGTATTGTCATCAACACCACCACTTAGGCATGTCACAAATATAACAGGGCTTAAGAAGTATATGACGGGAAAATAAGCACAAATAACTAACTTACTGATAATATTACCGATATGGTTTCATGATCTCCAGTTCCAGATGGATTATCTCGGTCATACCATGGGGTCCATGTTTCTGAATTAATAATAATTATCGATTAAATCTCCTTCCATAATTCTTATAATATTTTTCATAATAAAAATTCTTTTTCTATCAAAAAAGGTAATCTTTGCTCTTATACAAACCACCTCACTCCCATCTCTCTTCTGTCGATCTAGGTTATTCCTGACAAAATTATCAAACCGTTGCATTATATTACTAATTTGACATAGCGCCCTTTGAAAGAAAGCATTATCGAAGGTGCTCATCGAAATTTGAATTAAAGTCCATAAACTTGTTGAAATAGGTTTTTAGTTTTCAATTAGGCTCCTCCGCCTAACCCCACCCACCTCCCCGACCACTGGCCCCGCCCTATGAATGACGCTGTCAAACCTGCTCTTGGTAAAATATAAACTTGCAGCTCTTGTTCTGGATTCTTTGTAACTGTTTAGTATCACAGTCTGGAAATCCGATAATATATTTGCAAAATCGAGGTGTAAAAATTAGCATTAATTATTATTATTAATCGCAAACGATCGTTGACGTAAATATATTTAATCTCTTTTATTTGAATATTTGTATACTCTGTTCAATCTCTACGTTTAATATTTCAATAAATCTTTTCTCAATTTAAATGTCTATCTCGCATTTCTTTTAAAATGTTGGTTCTCTTTTCTAAGCCAGAATGTGACGGCGGCCACTTTGTTCATGTTGAGTACCGTAAATACTCTGCAGTGCTTAGTCGCCTTGTCAGCACTCTAGTAGTTTAATAGCTCTTTGGTTGGTGTTCAAATAATATCCAAGTTTAACGTTTGGTATCAAAAAAGGACATATTCCTCTTACCATTAAATCTTAGGCAAGGGTGGCGCCAGCGTATGGGGAGAGGAGGGGGATGGCGCCACCAGTCGGGGGAGAGCTGTCGCCCCTCCCCCACTACCATTGGCGAGAAAACCAACAATTCGTCGGCGAGACATAAAATTAGACGGATATTAATATACACAATTTTTTTTCCCCAGCAAAAAACAAAAACAAGGTTAGGAATGCGTTCTAAAATGCATGTTTAAACACGCATTCGTTATAGGGTTGGCGTTCAGAAAACACGTGTTTTGTGGTACACTTTTCAGCTGAAACGCAATAACGTGTTAGTCATGACCCGTCGGTGACCCACATTGACCTCTTCGTTGATTCGATCGCTCGTTCGCGGGAAATTCGGGGCGAAGGAAAAATTAAACCAACAGGATTGACGTGCGGCTTACCAAAATATTGTCATAATTCGTTGTGTGTTGTTTACTTCTTTCGCCCCATGCGCTGTAGCTCACAGGAAGTAAGGTCAACTTAAACTTCCGTAGGTAATCGTCATTATAATCTTTGCCCATCTATCTATGCTCACGTTACTGCGTTTTTATTACTTGTACTTTTCACTAGAAACGCGTTCCGAAGGAATTTAACCGTTTAAAAAACACGTGTTTTTAGCGTTATACAGCAGAAACATGCCATATATGACAAATACATATCTGTCTTACATTGATGTCGATGATTACTAGGTCTCATAATCTTAAAAAAAAACATACAGTTTGTTTTTCTCACCCGATGAACTGCTTGAATTAACCGACGGAGACTGCTCTCCAAAACGCCTGGCCCTGGTCCTTCCAGTCGTGTCTCTGGTCATCGCTAATTACTACCAAGTTATGCTGAGTAGTTACAATAATATGAATACGGTTTCAACTTAAAGCAACCTATCAACAATTAGGCCTCATAGTCTATCCCTAACTAATTTTAGTGGATAGAAAACCACACAACGCGAGGCGGGGTATTGGTTCCGTTTGAGCTTAAAACATTTTACAACTAAACACACATCTCAGATGTATTGCTTTGTTTGACTTAATTTTAGATTTCTTTTATTATAATTGTATATATGTGTATGTGTATTCTGCCGTGATTTGGAAAAAGGCATTATCTCCAAAATCCTAGTTTTGAATGAGCAATACGCCTTTGTACTGGAAATAAATTCTAGTATTTTTTTTTTGGCAAATATACTAAATATACAATTAAAAAACATAACAAAATAACTTTCATGGTAATTTTTGTTCCTATTTAAATGGAGATAATGTACTATTCCAAATTTTAACAGGAGCCAATGGTGCGTGAAAAATCTGTTGTTAGGCATTATCTCCTGTTTTTGCAGTGAAATGTGTATCTTACGTAGCCAAATTACAGTAATTCTGACAAACGGGTAAGGCCAGTGTCAATTACATATATTTCCCAAAATTTAGACCAAATAAAGTTAAAATTAATATTAAAGTATCCATTTCTAGTCAATTTAGGAGCCGTCATTGTATTTTAGTCGCATAAAAATACATTTAATAATAATATTGTTCAATATAAGCTACTTACATAATACTCAATCAGAATACAATGAATATTGATATATGTTGGTTATATTATGAAGAATAACATTAATGTACTTAATAGAACCCCTAATTTTTTTTTACGAACGCTTTAAAATCATACAAAAGTTAAAGTTACATATTTCGAATCTTCATTTATTTACGTATCATGTAAAAAGTGCCCAAATACTTAAATTATACTCTTTAATCTATTATTCGAAATTAAAGACAATATTCAGTGAGGTAAATGAGAGGTTCTATAAAAATCGTGTGGTAGATAAATATGAATCTAAATGAATCAAAGTTAGACGAGTTTTAGGTTTTCTCTTTTTTTTTTTTTTTTGACAACATTAGTTTTACCATGCATTGAAGATAATGAAATATTCTTTTCTTAATTTTTATTGTGATTTTATTATTTTAACTTAATTGAAGATAATGAAATATTTTTTTCTTTACTTTTATTCTGATTTTACCATTTTTTTATCAGCGTTGAAGATAATGATATTTTCTTTATTTTATTTGGATTATTGGATCATTAATCTATTAAATCAACAGGCATGTTTCTCCAAAAGGCCTTTCTATTCTCGATCATTAGTGGTAGAAGATTCTTTACTATGCCATTTTTTTATTTTACTTTTGCAGCCGGTATGCCTCTGGGCAGAACACGGTTACCAGGGAAATATGTGTTTTCTTTGATTGCTTTATTTATCTTTTTCCTTAGAAATTCGCCCAATTTATATACATCTTCTTCGTGGCACAATTTCTAAAATAACTTGGTTTCTCCTTTCTGAAACATTACTTCTTTCACATCATGCAGCTTTGGAATCATTATGTTCCTTCCATTCCCTTATCAATTTTGTATAGAATAAAGTCCGTCGCTTGCATAACTACAGCATTCCAAGCTTTATCAACAACTTCTTGAAAGTCATGGCCATCGAATATGTTCTTACTTCTCTGTCATCTGACATAAAAATGTGTGTGGTTTCCAGGTATATTAGTTGCACTGTATTAGGCCTACCATCTCTATCAACTTCACTAACTTCAACTTCCATAGGTTTTTATTGTATTTACCTTGATTTTATATAGAATTTAATTATTTTCGATTTAATTTATTATTGTCATTGTTACTAGGCCTAAGTAAGCTGACTTTCACAAGTGAACTTTTTATAATCAATTTATATTTTATTTAAATTTTTATTTTATTTATTTATTTTATTTTTATTTTTTTATTATTCGTTTGTTTATTTATTTATTTTTTATTTTATTTATTTATTTATTTTTGTTTATTAGGCCTAAGTATAAATATTCACATATAAAGTGAATTTTTGTTGGGCATTCATTTATATTCTCTTATATTTTAAATTTTTTAATTAATCCAACATCTAAGTCTTTAAGTTTCTATATAGTTTAATTCGTGTAGTTTTTCTGCTTATCTTCTATAAATTGTATTAAGCTGTATAGAGGAGTTGTTTATATGGGCTTTTGCCCGCTCAGCAACTCTTGCTTGCTTTTTTTGTGTTTCATTTACTTTATTAAATTGTGTATGTAATCGATGTTGCAAGTGAAATAAATGTTGATTTGATTTGATTTGAACGAAAGCTATGACTATTATTACCCAGTTTTTGTTTTGAGACAGACAACAGTTGTCCATCCAAAATATAAACTTTGTTTTATCCATGTACTTCCTGTGTCTGATAGACTGGATATAAAAGCTTGCAACATCCTCAGCATCACGACCCGTGATACACTCATTACATAGCATGCCCACTGATTGGTTTAAATTTCCCTTTCCCAAGTGCAAATGTTTCGTAAAATTGTACCACAATCGGTTTGTGCTGAACTGACACTTTTTACGTCTGGGGATGCACGGCAACATGATGACCTTTTGCATGTCGGTTAAAACAACTACTTCTTTTGGAGCCTACAGTCTATCCTCACTTTCATAATACATTCTAGCAATGTTAACAGGTCTTTTATGATCTCTCTGATTATTACAAACTTCACATTCGATATTGGACTCTGCATTTGTTATATCTGTTGAATTTGGTTGTTGATTTTCTGTGTTGGGGTGTTGAGCAACGCAGGGCTCTGCGTGTTCGATAGACTGTTCACACTCCTCTTCCCCAAGTTTGGCAAAGCTTATTTCTATCTGTTTAATGACATTTCGGTATGCGTTATATTTACAAATTCTAGAATTTCGTTGGTTAAAGTCCTCGTACAACAAAAAATGTTTGAACGGATTTACAATGTACATGTGTTTTTCAATTTTATGCTCATGGATATTGTGTATATTATGCACACATTTTATGTGCGATTTTTTCACCAGTAAGTTTATAGTTTAAGATGACACTGTAGTTAATATTGCCGGGCTAAACATATACTAGGTTTACTTTTTTTATTATTATTATTATTTGACTTTTTTATATATAGTTTTAGTTTAAGTATTCTCTATTTACTTTGCTTGTCATTGATTGTTCTGGACGCATATTCCATTTAAGTAGTGTTCCACTGATAAAAAGTGTAGTTAAAAATGAATTAAGCAGTAGGCTTATATTTCTAAATGAAA